TCAGCCGTATTTCGGGCATGGCGGAAACCAAACTGGAATGGAAAGAGAAGATTAAGCAGAAGTTGACCATTCGTTCTAGTAGTTTGTCCAAGCAGCTACTTAGAGCAATGTGGCAGTAATCTTGAGAAGATTTATTGGGTTTCAAGAAGGGAAGGGTAGAGAGGAAGATGGAAAATGTCGGATATCTTGTAATGAATACTGTCAGGGCCTTCATGGGTGTTGCAGCATGTAAGGCAGTGTGGAGTCCTGAGGAAGAAAAAGTAGCTTTATAGGACTCGGCAGAGGACATGGTGAAGGAGATGGGTGTGCGTTCTCTGATGGTCTTAATAGAAGAGAAAGAGAAAGGTGAGAGCCATCACTGACCTAGCTGAAGTAGTCACCTATTCTGAACAGAGATGAGAATATCTTGGATATGGAGGTTGGGGGATGGGTGGGGGGGATGTTTGCTTGATAGTTTATGGATCCTACTCCAGACAGCTGAAACAGACGTAGATGTAATTGAAGTAACATAATTTTTGACAGCTAGTAGTTTTACTGTTCCGGATTATACGACGAAGGCAGTTGGATGCTCCTTTAAAATAGATGAGGGCTGATAGCCTCACTCGTAGCAATAATTGTTCCAGGCTGCGCGTTTTAAGCGAAGGACTTTGGTACAATCAGAATTCCACCAAGGAACACACTTGAAGGTATAAGGTCTTGAGGTTCAGGGGATGGCTGTATGGGCAGCTCTTAGGACTGTAACTGTGAAATATTGTAGTATATCTGCAATGGACGAGAAGGGGGATGGAGGGGTAGGGTAGTAGTGTGAAGTGAAAGTACACCAGTCAGCTCTATCAAAGCACCAGCGCGACATGGGGGAATAGGAAGTGGTACATATGTAGGAGTAAAGAGGACTGGAAAGTGGTCACTATAGGGAAAGTGATCTAGAACTGAATAATAGAAGCCTAAATGGAGAGAAGGGGAGCATAGAGAGAGGTCAAGGCAAGAAATCGATTATGTATGCCTTTCAAAGTGCGGCAGGCTATCTGAATTATGAATAAGTTCAATTGTGGAGATGAAACGTTCTAGGAATTGGCCACAGAGGTCGTGGTGGAATCACCCCAAAGAGTGTAACAGCAGGTAAAATCATCAACTATGAGGAAAGTTTGCTGGAGTTGATTAATGATTAGAAGAAATAAATGTGCTAGACATCAAACGTAATACAGCACTACCATGCGGCGAAAAGGGTGGAAATGAGTTATTGATTAGATGTTAGACGTCAAAAGTCGTAGAGCACTGAGGAGATATAGAGGGGAACAAATGGAATGTAGTGGGGATTTGTGATAGGACAATCAGATCAAAAGGTGAGTATGTGTCTGTGGAAAACTGCAAACATCGTGAACATCTAGGCGGGAGTGGTAAGAATAATGGGGGAGAAAGAGGAAATGGTGATGCACATAGAAGAGGAGAGGATGGGGTGTTTTTTGGGGAGAGTGGGAGGAAGAGGGTAGGGGGGTACTTGAGGAGGAGGAGGAGGAATATCGGGAAATACTTTGCATGTAGAGCGAATATGAATAAAGGGATTGGAGGGTGGATGAGGAAGTGGAGAACTCTCTTGGTCATGTTTAGGAACTTTTGGATGTCTTCTAGAGTTTCTGCAGGGGAGCAGGGCGGGAAGGTCTGAGAAACAAAGGTTTTCTTATGTGGAGGAGAAAAGAGAATAGATGTCCAAGGAGCAGAGGGAGAAGTGGGTTTAGGAGAGGATGTGGTAGAAGATGAAGTGGAACGTATCTGGATTTAGATTGGTAAAGGAATTTGACTGGGGGAGAGAGAAGGTAGAGATAGGATGATTCAGGGTAGATGGAAGAGATACTGGGCGAGATGCCGAGACTCCTTTAGAAGATGGGAGGAGAGCAGAGCAAAGCACATTATTGGAATAGGTAGAAAGAGAAAAACCTCGTCGGCGTGCTTCTTGTCTGGCCTCACGTGAGTGAGGCCTAGTTTGAGTCTGAGAACTGCTACCTCAGATTCGACCTTGTAGCCAGCGCATCTCCTATAAAATACATTATGGGAGCCACCACAATTGGCACACGTGAGTGACTGAGAAGAGCAATTTGAACGGTCATGACCAGGTTGGGCACAGAGAGGACAACAGGCTGTGGATCGACAGTGTTTGGCTGGGTGGCCAAACCACCATTTCTGACATTGACGGGGTAGGTAGGACAGGGCAGGATACTCCACCAATATAAACTTCGTGGATCGTGTCTACGGAGGCTAATCTTGGCAATATTGTTGTAGGACTTACGTTGGCCTCTAGGAGGAATAGTGCAGCACTGGACTGCTACTGCATCATAGTTGACAAGACATGCGAGCAAGTAATTTTCACTGTCTGACCAGTTCTTGTCAAAGACAGGACAATCAGTCGGTGGAGACGGAAACAGTTCCGGTACAAGTTTTAAGGGAGGAGCGAGGTTGGGCAGGAAGAGGTTTGCCAGTGAGGTCAGTCAGGCTAATGTACGAGCTTCAGATTCAGATGTAACTGTGGCAAGGGGTGAACGATCGGAACGAATGCAAAAGGAAACTTTGTCTACTTCTTTTTGGAGACATTGTTGAAAGAGAAGGGTATTATCAGAGTATGGAGCTGTAGGGGGAATCACAAAGAATCGATGCCACTTGGCTGGGCCAAAAAGGGTACTCAATTTTTTTGCAAAGGTGGAAGCAGTAGAAGGACGAGGGCGGGAGGAAGATGGTATGGTTTGTTGTTGGGAGGAAGACAGTCTAGATGAAGAGTAGTAATAAAAGGGTGGGGGTAGATAATGAATAAGACTGTGCAGTAGGAGATGGAGTGGTGGACTTTAGGAGAGAGGAAGGGGTATATTCTGAAGGTTGAGTAATAACCTGGGAGGATGATTCGGATATAGCTGACAGCAAACAATGAGGAGGGGGTATTAGTATCAGTGGTCGGAGCTGCAGTCAAAGGAGAGGCAGGGGTTGGGAAACTAAAGAAATCAAATTTAGATAGGCTAGCTGATGAAGGGGCAAATCTTAATGCCCTTTATAAGGGTAAAACAATCAGTGGCCATGGTGAGCCTTAAATAAGTGGGGAGAAGAAACTACTTTTCAGGGTTCCTATGAGGGGTAAGAGCTAGGCAATTAATCAAGGGAATACCGTGCCCTTGGCTCTCGAAGGCCGCTCATGACTAACACAGAGCCAACGTTTCATTCTTTCAGTATGGCTCTCACACCATAAGAAGTGGACAGATGAAGAAGAGAAGGAAAAGGAAAGGGGAGAAGAAAAGACCATGCAAAATTAGTTGCGGCGAGGGCTGAGGTCCAAGGTAGGGGTGATCCCCTACATTAGGCTCCAGCCTCCATCTCCTAAGCTCCCCCCCCTCCATGATAACAACGAGCAACGGATTGGGGGGGGGGGGGGGGCTGGAGTTGGGAAATTAGTTTCAAAGGCAACAAAGTCATTGGGGTGGGAAGGGTAGAAGTAGGCTGAAATAACTGTGATCCAGTAGTGAAGAAAGCTGCAAATAACTGTGCATGGGATAGTGGTCTGATGGATAATTATAGACGAGACATATAAGGAGTGTGGGGAAGTATCAAAATGGTAATTGGGAATTAGTATAGGAGGTTGTGTAAGAAAAGACTTTTTGAGGCAGATAATGGATGAATCTGAGAGTTGCCACTTCAAACTCAAACTCATGAGTGGGGCAACCCCTATAAAATACGTTATGGGGACCGCCACAATTGGCACACATGGATACTGTGCAGAGAAGTTTGATCAATTATGACCAGGTTGGGCACATATAGAACATTGGGCTGTGGAACGGCACTGTTTGGAAGGATGTCATAGATGCCAACAATTTTGACATTGATGGGGGAGGCTGATATAGTCGGACAGGGAGGGAATGTCCTCTAATGTAAACATTAAAGGGGAGGTCATGTCTATGGAAAGTAATCTTGGCAATGTTGGTGTTTTTTTTCACAGCCTCTAAGGCGAAATGGTGTAACATTGTACTGATACTGTATCACAGTCCATGAAGCAGATGAGTAAGTCTTCTCCACAATCTGACCAATTTTTGTCATAGACAGCAGTTTGCTTGGGAGATGGAGACAGTTCTGGTGCAAGTATAGTAGGTGGGATGCAGTTCAGAAGGAATAGATTTGCCAGTGAAGTCTGCCAAGGTTGGTAATGTTTTAGCTTGGGTTTTGGATGTAATTGTGACAAGGTGTGAAAGACTGGGGCAGCTGCTGAAGGAAGCTTTCCCTACTTGTTTTTGGAGACATTGGTGAAAGAGGAGTGTTGTCAGGGTAAGAAGCTGTGGGGGGAATCACAAAAGATTGGTCCCACTTAGCTTGGCTAAATAGAGTATTTAAGATGTTTGTAGAGGTGTGGCTTGTAGGAAGGGGATGTGTGGAAGAGGGAATAGGTGGTAAATAATGTTGCAGAGTAGTAATAAGGGAGGATGGGGTAGTTGATGAAGACAGTAGTGGGGGTAGAGGAGATGAAGTTGAGAATGTTGGGAGAGTAGGAATCTCCTGGAGGTTGAGTGTTGACCTGCTTGGATAATGCAATAGTAGGTATTGAGGAGTAGTAGCAGCAGTGTTCACAGTTGTTGTCAAAAGAGACCCTGGGGTCAGGGAACCAGGATAATTTGAATCAGTGGGCAAGCCTTATTGCCCCCTAATAAAGGTATAAAGTCTTCATTGCTGGCCATGGTATGCCTAGAGTATGTTGGGGAGAGAAACATCCACTCCTCAGGGTCCCCTTGAGGGGTAATGGCTAGACAACTAAACAGGGTAATAACATGCTACCCATGGCTCTCCCAGGCCATTCATGACAAAGTCAGCTTTTTGTCCTTTCAACATGAGTCTCACACCTTTGGAAATGGCTAGTCGACGGGGTTGGAGAAAAGTTGGAAATGAAAATGGGGAGGGGAAAAGACTGTGCAAAATTAGTCGAGTCAAGGGCTGAGGTCCAAGGAGATCCCCAGCACTGGGTCTTAGACTGTCTCTTAAGTCACCTGTGACAACAATGGGCAAGAGATTGAGGGTGAACATAATGTGGAAGGAATTACATTTCAGGCATGAGAGTCCAAAAGTTTAGATCCCATCCTCAAAATATGACAAATTATCAAACCCTATTAAAATACAGTACCTTTACATATAATGGTGGACATTTTACACATCAGATTAATATCCTAGTGACTGCCTCAAAATATCTACCACTTTAGCAGATATAGAATGACCTTTGAATATTAAATTTAAGACTGAAAGTTGAATAATTTTCTACTTCACATGGGGATGATGCCTGCATCCACAGAATAATCAAATACAAAGATTATACTATTTAATGTACATGCCATGCCCACTGTGAGTTTACTTGTTTATTTGATTTTACACATTGATGGCTACACTTGTACTGAGTCACCAATGAGCCAATTATGAGTACTGCCTGTCTTGCCTGTTTACCCGTTTCCTTGATTAACAAAAATATTTTATGTTAGCTTATTTTGCTGTTACTAATGTTTGTAACATTATAGTAATTATAATTTTTATAATAAAAATAACATCATCGATATTCATAGCACTAGTCAAACATACATTTTTCCTGCCAATTCAAGGAAAGGTGAAATCAGGTATGGTCACAAGGTCTACTAATTGACTCCTTTGTGGCTAAGCACTAGCAGAGCCATCTATGTGCAGGAATATTTCACAAAAATATAAAAAATGAGCACAGCATTCTCCCTAATTTTTATTTATTTTCTCTGGTGGCATTGGGTTAAAATTTGCTTTCATTCTTAAAATAAATATGAATAAGGGGAAAAAAAAGTGAAATACTATGATGACAACCATTTATTTCATACAATAAAGAACAAAAGATAACACAAGGCATGGGAACCATTCATGAAAGATAATAAATCTATTTGAGCTGTTATGATTTAGTGAAGCTATTTAAAATATCTTTAACACTGTCTTCTTTGCCATGTGGCGACTACAAAACTCTCATACACATGCATTTGTGTACATGAGGCTCTTGGTAACACAAGGCCCTGTCTGTCACTTCTTTTTTTAAAAGGAGAAAAAGGGGGTTGGGGTTGCATAGAAATCTGGACAATGTCCCAGATTACTGAACAATTTTGTTAACCACCTACGTGGATTTACAGAAGGGTAGGACACCAGTACCTCATTTTCTTTTTTACTTAGGGGGTACTTAGGGTTTTCTATCACTATATAGAAATATTTTCAAAGTTAACATAAATATATGCTCAATTTCATGGTACATTAATTATAAAGTAAAACCTCTTAATTTGTTATTTTCTGACTTGCCTTCTTTGATGAAAACAAATACAAATATCAAGATGGATTGAACTCCTTTCTCTAACAGTTCATAGTATATGGACTAGTTTTAAATCCTTCACAATTTGGCAATCATGGTACTGACTAGAAGTTTATATATATATATATATATATATATATATATATATATATATATATATATATATATATATATATATAATGCATGTAAATATAATACATATATATTTATAATATATAAATATATTATATTTAAACATGTGTGTGTGTGTGTGTGTGTGTGTGTGTGTGTGTGTGTGTGTGTGTGTGTGTGTGTGTGTGTGTGTGTGTGTGTGTGTGTGTGTGTGTGTGTGTGTGTGTGTGTGTGTTGTCTATGTATGCTGTGTCTGAGTGTATTATGTGTGTGTCTGTTTGAGTAGATGTGAACAAGTAGATAGTTGTGTGTATGGGTGTAAATGTAATTGTAGGAGTGGATGTACGTATGGTAAATGTAATTGTAGGAGTGGATGTACGTATGGTAAATGTATTTGTAGGAGTGGATGTACGTATAGGTAAATGTAATTGTAGGAGTGGATGTACGTATGGTAAATGTATTTGTAGGAGTGGATGTACGTATGATAAATGTATTTGTAGGAGTGGATGTACGTATGGTAAATGTATTTGTAGGAGTGGATGTACGTATGATAAATGTAATTGTAGGAGTGGATGTACGTATGGTAAATGTAATTGTAGGAGTGGATGTACGTATGATAAATGTATTTGTAGGAGTGGATGTACGTATAGGTAAATGTGCAAGTGTAACTGCATGCAGATGGATATGTGCATGTTTGCAAATACGCATATGTTTGCATAAAGATATATATTTCTTACCTGACCAGGCGTAATAGCTCGTAGAGGTTTTGCAAGGCTGACGACCATATTATTTTGTGTTGGCGAACGATGCCAAGGGTTAACATCATGTGTTGTTAGTACACATTGCAGTAAGGGAGCAGTATTTTGAAAGCGAAACATACAGTCTAAATGCCCCTCTGAAAAAATTTGTGAGGGTGGTCTATGTACCCAGTGAATTGGCTCTGTGAAAACTGTAGATGTAAATAGTGCTGGGTGATCACTGCCTGCAACCTGGAACATATAAAAAAAAAAAATAGTGTCCTACCAATTACTGCTGTATATCTCTTCTTCTTCTCCTGGCTTAATTCCCATTTCTGGGGTCGCCGTATACTGCTGTATATCTCATTAGTTCTAATACTAATGATATATTGAAATTTTAGTTTATGATCTAAATATTCCATACTAACCTTACAAAACTTGTTCAATTTAAAAAATAAAAATCATATACCTCAAAATATATCATAAGAACTGGTGATACTGCAAAATATATCAACTCACAACCAAAATATCATTTGCTGCAACATTTTTTTCTGCTATAAAGTATGCTTTGCGTTTTCCTCCTAGGTGACATCTTTGACCTACTGTCCACTGATGTATTCCCTTGTGTGTTCCTACAATTTCTCTTGTGTCAATATCTACAAAATTGCCAGGGTTGTCTTCAATATACTGAAAAAGAGAGTGTCAGATAGATTTAATCTATTAAAGCAAGATTAAATGTAATTGTACATCTTTTAACACATTTTATCAAATGTGTTAAAAGTGAAATATGGAAAAATGTGGAAAACTTTAACCCATATTAAACACTGAAGTATAGAAATGGAATCATGAAAGAGGAATAAAAACAATTCATTAAAATAAGTCACTTAACTGAAAAAAGGAACTAGTATGACCACAATAAAAACATTATAAAACATCACTTCAGTAAAACCTAAAATGTGTCTAATATTCATCAAGGTCTCATTACAGTAATAATAAAACAACAAAAGGTTTCATTATATTAACAAAGAAAACTAATAAGTTTCATTACAATAACAATTAAACTAATAAAGCTGTCATTATAATAATTCTCTCTTCTACCACTATAAAAAAAAAATTTGTAAGGAAAAACATGAAAAAAGGAAAAACCTGGCCAGCTGTTTGGCTAGAATATACCTCAGATATGAAATCCTGGAAGTCTCTTGAACCTATAAAGCAGATGCCTGTAGAATCCCTTTTCTGAGCCACTCGGTCAAGATTAGCAGCTGCAGCTATCTTGCGAACAACAGCCTTATTATATTCCCCTGAAACAAATCTTACTTCAATAAGCCTGCAATTATGTATTTTTATATTAAGATCATTATGTCTAGCCTTGCCTTTGTGTGAATGCACTCTGCTGAATTATGACCAAGAAATCCATATAACACATTGTTTTAAGGGCAATTAATTCCTCTAGATGTGGAAATAATGAAGTGTTTATAATTTCTTAATGACAGTGACAACAGCAACAGTACTGTAGCAATGTCCTAAGTTCTGGTTCTTAACATAAAAGTCTACAGCACAAATCATATAGCTTTAATATTGGAGCTAATTTTAATGGTATGCCCATAACTACACTGTAACATATTCAAGCTAATCTATTTAAATATAATCAACCAACAAAATCAATATTACAAATGCCATATTTTCTCTTCTCAGTTGTAACTCCTTAACCCTTATGATCTGGATGAAGTGACCATCACCTCATGGAAAAATTAGGGTTGAGGGCTAGGGTGATGCAAGTTTGCTGGTATGAGAATTTCCAATGAAGGCTGGGGTGATGGGAATAAGTTGCTAGGAGACATAAAGCTTTTGTAGGGTAATTAGACTCTGTGGGCATTTGGAAGTGGCTTCTGAATTATTTCCATCAATAAACGAGTGTGAAATATATTATCTATAAGCCGTGACTGTAAGAGGGCCAGCGCCGGGAAGGACACTATTTCCATGCTCAGGATCCTATTCCTGCTAGTTGTGACCGGCAGTGCAGGTTGTATTTCAGAAAATTGAATATTATGAAAAAGAAATTAAATTACACAAATAATAAGATGTTACTTATTGCTATTATCATTGCACTGAGTCATAGACTACCTACAGAGATGATATGGAGTTTGTGCAAGGAAAACAGTCTATTACCATCTGGATAAGCCAATCAAAGGACAAATAAAGACATTGAAAAATGGCAAAATGCTAAAAACACTTACACAGAAAAAGAGACAATAACTTTTCAAAGGGAGGCATTGAGTCTTGTCATTGCTCATGAGTGTTCATGTGCATCCAGCCTACAAGCCGCATACCCAACAGAGTGGCTGCTCAAGTAAGCCTAATACCAATATTTTGGGACATGTGATGGCAGTGAAGCATCCAGATCTAATGGGTTAACAGCTATGATGTAGCATAATCCATGAAGCTACAGCTTTATCAAATGCAGTAGCATCAGCGCTTAATTTCTGAATACTCAATTGCTATGAAGACAATCAATCTTACCTAAGGGAAACATTGTTTGCTGCAAAGACCTCTGTGGAATCTGACTGAGAAAAAAAGTCTGATCCTTCAGTCGATCAATAGCCTGCATAAGCTTCGCTCCTGTTCAAAAACGAAATCTATATTACTATAGTGTACGAGTTAATATACATAATAGAAACTGCATACCTTACCTCTTGACCTGCATACAGGGTTGTAGCTAGCATTTTACCTTTGGGAACAGTGTCAAGGGTTCATCTTGACATTTTTATGCATTTCACTTGATATTTTTTTTTTTAAAGAATGAATGAAAGACTCTGCAGTAAACAATAATCAATAGCAGTACTCTACAACAACCAACATAAATATTTTTATAAACAGCTAAGATGGGAAGATAAATACCCAAGAGGTGCCTACTACATACTGAAGAAGAACATAATGATTCTAAAATAGCTTTTAGAAAATGTAAAAAAAAAAAAAAAAAAAATCTGTCTATCTTGGCTGTTACAAGATAGCTAAAATAAGGCTAATTGATACTAATCTAAAACTAGCAAAGCCAAATATAAAGAAATGAAAGGCATTCAATTAAAAAATCATATCTATTGAAGATTTTCATTTCACCTCATAAGAAGCACACTTTTGTCCCCCTGGTAGCTGTGTCCCTGTCCATATGCTCCAATGTTATCCAATTTTTGAAAAAAAAAAAAAAATAAATAAATAAATAAATAAATAAGTACATAAATTATAACAGATAACAATCTAAGGAAAGTGATTCAAGAATAAGTAATGACAATTCAAAAGCAAATGACAATAATGACAAAAAGAAAAAAGAAAATAAATAAATGATGTTTTAAATATGGTGATTCTTACCAAACTACCTTTTCATTCAAGTCTCAGTGCTAACTTATCAAATTCCAAATATTCAAAATCTGAAGGCCTTTATGAAACTTCAAAACATTAGTAGCGTGAAAGTTAGAATGTAAAAATCATAATTCTCTAGTAGACCAAAGCTTATGAAAAGGCAATAAGGAAATTTAAGAATACAAGAAATGACTAAGTGACAGCATAATGTGGTTCTATTTTTAAAATATGGAACAATTTCTAGAAATCTAAATAACATGCAGAGAGAGTACTGCTTTAAGCAGATCCAGATTATGGTATATTGATGTTATATCAGAAAAAGAATCATAGCAAGAATATAGTTAGAAATAGAAAGAGAAATTATAGTGGTGTTCTAATCAAATGCTAATTGTGCTTCTCCGATAATCTGGGAATAATACCAAAGATGTTGGCACTAATTACAGAGTTCACGGAACAAATCTAGAGGTGAGGATATTGATCTGTATTCATCTGTACTGTGATGTTAAAAAAGTCCAACCTTTTTGGGGATTATAATACTCCATATCTTCACCAAATGATGTTCGTGCATAGTGGCCCGTAGCAATGATTTCAGAATTCAAATGTTCTTGGGCATGCTTCAGAAATGGGGAAAATTTGACATGCCTGTTGCACAAGATATCTGGATTTGGTGTAAAACCTGTCTTGTACTCCTCTATCATGTATCTGTTGATAAGAAAAAAGTTATCTTTATTTTGTAAAGCAGTGGTTAAAAATATAGATTCCTATCTATACAAAATCTTAAATTATTTTTTACAAAATTGGATTCCAAACACACCATGTGCTGAGACAGTAAAAATAAAACAGGATACACTTTGATAAATGATGTACTGATCACCCTGAAATACAATTTGCTCAGCTACTTTGCAACAAAGAATAACAAGTTGAGATTCTTAACTTTCAGATATAGTTATACAAGTATTTAGAGTGAATGATTCATTCATAATCAAGTGCAGTATCTAACTCACACTGACTTAACTATCACTTGACTAGATGTTATTTCATCTCTCTCCAAGTAACATATTCTGACAATGTTGTACTATTTTGGGTAAATTAATAATGAAGCTTTTAACTTACTGCATGTAAGAGAACTAATTAAGAGTACTTTATACCTTCCCAACAAATGCAATAATTTTCAGCAACATATACCAGCTTCAAACTTAAACATTATATGGATAAAAAGGAATAAATTCTACTTACAAGAATACATCATTCCAATATTCTTTCACAAAGTTAACTTCATGGAATGGTATGTCTAATTTGCGGCACACCCATTCTGCATCTTCAGCTTCAGTATCTGTTGTACAGTGTCCCTTTTCATCTTTTTCATCCCAGTTCCGCATGAAGACACCGATGACTTCATATCCTGAATGAGTATGTAATAATAATTTTTACAATACCCTCTATGTGCTATAAATTATGGACAAAGATATGTGTGTGTGTGTGTGTGTGTGTGTGTGTGTGTGTGTGTGTGTGTGTGTGTGTGTGTGTGTGTGTGTGTGTGTGTGTGTGTGTGTGTGTGTGTGTGTGTGTGTGTGTGTGTGTGTGTGTGTGTGTTCGTTCTTGGGCGGGGGTTGGGGGCGGCATTAGACAATATAGTGACTGATTCAGTACTGTGATTACAGCAGTTTGAGAATCCATCACTGCGCAAGCTAATAAAAAAGTGTACACACAAGTTTTAAAAATACCAAAATCACACCAATTTACCTCTTCTTTTCAACAACAGTGCAGAAACTGCACTATCCACTCCTCCTGATATTCCAAGGACCACACGGCCAAATCTCCGGGCTAGTTTAGACATTTCTTCACTTATTTGTCTATGAACAACTAATATCCAGTTCAGATAAGAGACTGCTGCTCACATATCAAAAGTCCGGTAAGGGTCCTACTACTCTCAAAGTCACACTTCGATTATAGTACTGTACTATTCTTCT